TTCGGTGACATGGTAGCTTATAATTAGTCGGTTAGAAAGAGAGTATAACAATCTGTAGTCCGTAGTTCGAATCCTGGTCTAGCCCTCCTGAATTCTTACATGCAGAACACTGTTGTTGATTATAATTTGTTTATTTATCTTTATTATTTTATCGTAAACGTCCCTCAAGGTATGGTTTTCTTTTCAGAAATGATTTATTAAAGCTATAGTCATGCCAGAAGGAACCGTTCCCAATACGGAGTTACAGTTATTGATTTTAATCATAGCGGATTCATCGATTCTTTCATTTCAAATTCATATTTTTTTCACAAGTACATGTTCAAATTTATTACATGTAGGTGCCAATATAATCTATTAAAGCACTTTTCTGCTGGGTGAGCATACATTTCAGTTCATAAAAGTTCATTCTCGAAACACTGTGTCGGGTTAACATCATAAAAATGTAACTACAGAGTGCAACAAGGTTCTCTCCTCTATATCCCCATTAATAAAAAATAATTTTATAATGAAAGGTGCCAATAGCTCCCAGCTGTCAGCTGTAAAACTACGATCTGATGCTGTAATACTGGTGGATGTTTCGAAACTAAAAATATGTTATTTATGTTTTGGAATTCAATATTACTATCAGATATCAGACAGGAACAGATAAATATCTCAATGGATCATTTGGGGACATTTTTTCAAAATAACTCACCGTGTCAGTGAGTTCAGGAAGCATGCCACTGGGTTCAAAATCAGCAAATTAAAAAAATTATAGCAAAAATCAGTTGAGTGGAATAATGTTTTTCATTGATACGAAATTTCTTAATGTTTTAGTGTTTCGAGATATCACATGGTTACTTTATGAAATTTCCTTTTTAGATGTTGTAATGTACAAATCGAAACAAAATTATGCATTCCTTCTAAGAATGATCAAGTTTAAAGTTCGGCATTTTGTAGAGAAATATGAATGTAGTAAGAATATTCATGCAACAAAAACTATTGTTGTCTGTTTTGCAAAACAGAAAATTGCAGCTTGACAATATTATACCGATGTATTGTATTATGTTATTAGTATACTTTGTGGTGTTGTTGTCACTAACACAATTCTTTCTTCGAGAACATGACATTACCTTTTTTTAACCAAGATTCATATAACGGGTGTCGTCGATGAAGGAAACGACGCTTAAACTTCCTGAACACCTTATGTCATTCTCCTTGTACATTATATGGGTGTTAAACCAGTAAACAATATAATTCACCATATCATAATCTTTGTAAAACATTAGATTTACTTCGTTTATTTTTCGGAAGAAAACCAGTTTTTATTGGTACTCCTTGCTGTTGAATAAAGCATGCAGAAGATCTGATGATGATTATGCTTAGTTTTTGTATAACACAAGTTCTTGATGAAAACTACATGCATTTTATTTATTTCCCGACATTTAAAACAAATGAAACCAGAAACTCTCCGGCTTCATACAAGGAACTCTACCTGCATCCCTACTGTTTTGATAACCAAGGCACTAAAATCTATGACAAGTACCATTTCAAGATTTAAAACTTTCCTGTCCTCAGTGGTAACATTCCTGCTTCCCCTACTTATGCAGATTAATCGCTCTTCCAGACCTATAAACAACACAAGGTCTTCTGCAGGAGATGCTTCGATAGAGAAATTTGACGATCATCACCTTTACTTGATTTCTTCTGATGACATTTTAGTGTCTTCAATAATAAAGACATATTCAAGGTTACGTAATGTATGCTACGTGTGGATAAGGTAAGGCTTAGCCTTCTGCATCCAGTATTTTGTGACGGTTCATGTTGTCTTCCCTTTTGATTAGGAGTCTCTTCAGTACTTTAAGTTTCGTTCTCCGGAAAGAGAAGCGTTAACGTTTCAAGCGCCACATGTGACATACATCATTGTTTATCCCGTCAATACAGGAAATGACGTAGGTTCTAATAAACTAATGAAATGACACAGGTAGTGTTTATTTTGTGATGCAAACTGTCAATTACTTTTTCTTTGCTATCAGATTCTTGTCGCGTTGTTACTAGATCAAAATCGAAGACATATATTTCCTAAATTCAACTCATTCACCCATGAAATTTCATTATACACTATTCCAACCATTGCCTTTGAAGAGTTCAAATATGTCTTCAGCGGTGAATTAGTTAAACATTTCAAAAAAGGTGTCATATCTGTCACATTTTCTTTCGTGAATTATTTTGTTTTTATTTATTTTAAAAAACTGTCTCGAAACTAAGCATTTTTTCCAATGTAACTATGAATAATTACTTACATTTTGTAAATTCGCCTCATACGCATCAATCAATGCACCTTACTGCCGGTTAAGCGCACGATTAGTTTCGCGAATCGAGTTTCTAGATTTGATAGCAAAGACATTAATTCGCATTTCACTCAACATGTCTGTCTTACGTTATGCATTAATAATTTTTCTTGTGACAAATTGTTACACATCGATTGCTACTTTGAGTACCATACGAACAATAACTCAAAATAACTTAAGACATAGATGAGAATTATTTTCTTTGCAATCATGAACAGAAAAGTAAGGTCGCGAAATTAAATGAACGCGAAAATTTAGTAAAATATACCGAACTATGATTATAAAACAATGTCAAAAGAAATAAAACGATCTTCATGGTATAAAGACTTTATTTCTACAAAATTCTACATATGCACATTTTCTCCATAATTACACATGCCATACATATATATCTTTATATATCCCAATGTGTGTCAATGTCAACCTTGCTCTCCAAATACATACGAACTGTTCTCCAAAATATATATAAGGCACTTCATCAAAGTAAATGACAATGGTAAAGCAGATTCGTATAAATGCTATAGAACTATCCATTCTTAACGATCAGCAAATGTGAATGGTTTATTCCGCTCAATATGGAAAAAACTTAAAAGCTTTGGTTTCATGAAGAGTTATTTTACAGATTTGTAAGAAAATATCGTTTCAATTTAATTTTTTATTTTTCAAAATTTCGATATTGTTGTGATTGTGGTTCAATTTGATTAAACATATGTATCGTTGTGTTTATTTTCAAAGTATAGTTTTAACGCGAATACCTCAACAATAAAATCTTTACTAAATAACTGTATACAGTGTATTTCGTTTATCGTTCACTTTTTGTATCTTTTATGATGCAAATAGCACCAACTACGAAACAAAAAACCCTTAGCTAGAACATCAGAGGTAAGGCGTAGTTTACTACAAATATAAATGTACGTACAATACAAATATACATAAATATATACCTATAAATGATTTAATATGTAAATATAAAAATGCATATCAAAATACTATATCTTGGAATACCATTGTTTTGTCCGTTCTCAAGCAATGCCCCCTGGAAACATTCCCTATATTCGATAAATTAGACGTTATCAATTTAAACGGTTTTTCAATGAGTTTTTATAAAGGAGAACCTCATGGATCCGGGCACTATGGATATATGGATTCTTAATTCGAACTATTTACTAATCTGGTCACATTGAGAATTTGTCCGGAGTTTCCTAACCCGACATTCACTTTGCTTTTACTTTTTCGATGATATGTTTCAAATCCAGATTCATCAACCCTCGGTATTATATCTAAGAATGAAAAAATCAATTGATAAAAATGTTTAAAAACAAAAGATAATTTTAATTTGAGAGCTAGATGAGCATTGTAAATTTGATCGAGTATTGAAGGCACGTCCATGACGATTTCTATGTATATTCAATAAATAAATTATGCATATGGCTCTAGTGTTATGTACAATATGTATACACTATCAATAGTAAGAAAACTAGACTCTCACGAATTATGATTAAACTACTTATACAAGACAAAATGATACCTATGTACATGACACGAATAGCACTAAATGAAACGTGGAGTAAGTCAGAGCCGTCAGGTTGTGTCATAAATGAAACTCTCATGACGGCATATTGTGAAACAAAATAATAACTAAAAATTTGTTAAAAAAGTTGCTTGGGTTGGCCTTAGTATTTTGGGTAAACCAAAGATCACTTGTTGCAAGTTTCGTGCCAGAACTTCACAGAGTAGACAATTGGGTATGTATATTTTGTTAAAAAACCCATTAGGAGTTAGTGAAATAGGAAAATACGAAACTTTACTCTTTTTTTTGGAAAAAAAATTCATAGTATCAAATGAAATGTGATCACACCTGCATTATTATTCCTTCACATTGTCATATGATTTCTTTTTTATAAGATAATCCTCAAAAGACAAATCTTTCAAATAGTTATTGTAAATAACTCATATTTGCTAGAAATTAATTTCGCCATAATTCACAGTGTAATTTAAGTATTGATTGTCATATACCTGGTGTCTCTTTAGCGGAGTCAGATATCCGTGAATCCGTGAATGAGTGGGGTTGGAAAATCGCGAAAATAAATAATAGAATAACATGAGCAATTTACAGAAGCTACCTGAAAATAAAGGCCACCATCTTATTATAAAGAAATTTTGTGAAAACGGGAAGGATTTTTTTCTTTCAGTAAAACATAAAATGCAGATATGTATATGTTCAATGCACTTTAGTACAATATACTGAATTAGAAAGCTATATTTAGAAAAAAGAGGAGGGATTTCCTCATTAGAGTCCAGTCAAACTTTGAACAATATTATTTCACATGTTACGTATCGAATATGTATGTAGATTGTAATGGAGTTGTTTGATTGCAAAAACACGACATTCATTTAAAGTATGCACAAACACTAAAACATATATAAATTCTCGAAGATATAAACACATTTCTTTTTCCACTGTCGAGAAAATGAAGTATGTTTAGTGTGAAAGTGCATTTAGCAGACGACGGAGATTACACCTGGTCCCTTGAGAGCAATTCCGTCTTTGCGTATTGCAGAGTTATCTTCTCTTGGGAGCAGGTATTGATTGTTACGTCATGGGTTTGTGTGAGAAAATTACGTCGTTTTCTCAAAAATTGATGACGTTACTATCACAAACAAGTGACGTAACAATCAATACCTGTTCCCAAGAGAAGATAACTCTGCAATATGCAAAGACGGAATAGTGTTGACATAGTTAGAACTGGGTAAACACAATTTCATCAATACGTCAATATCCTGTCAGCAAATACACATTCCGTTGTCGAAACGATGTCAAAATTGCTGTAAGCACCATGCTGACAATGCTTCATTGTCTTGAATACCTTTGTATTTTTGACTTTCAGATACTGACACATTGAAAAAAAGATAAATTGTTGTCACTGTATTGACCAAATATCCTATGTTGACATTCAGTGTCAATATTGTGATGACACTTCTTTGACATTACCGATATTGTCGACATATCGTTGAAGCCATAATGCTTTGCATTAAGTCAACACACGCGTTATTATCGATGTACGTTCATGACGTCATAAGTAATCCTTTCAGAATGAGAGCAGTGCTATATGCAAATTGAGAATGATGCATATACTCCAATATAATAGTATGGTAGTACATTTCCATGAACAGGAGGACGATTGCAATATATTGAACTATGAACTTTCAATGCATTTCCCCACAAAATCAGCACAAAATCCATCTTTACGGGTTTAATCCATCTCCAAACGAACATCTGCAATGCAATTTGTAGCTCCTATTTCATTTTTCCAATCTTGCATTGTTCACCATCCTCTGATATGCCTCGCAATAATCCATTTTGCCTAAAGGTACCTGTTGAAACAGTCCGTCCATATATATGACAATAACATAAACACATCCAGAATTGTTGAGCATTGCAGAACTGACATCGTTGCAGCCCCTTGGTCGTAACGGGCACCACACCGACATGGCAGACAAGTGTAACATAAAATATTACTTGATATAATCACGTGTCAAGAGGTACACGAGCACAGTAAAATGTCAAAACTTTCATTTTTTCCATACAAATCTGTCCATATACCTCGACAAAAATACAAGTGTACTCCGCGTTAAGGTTTAATTTCATAAGGCAGTTGGGGAATATGAAATCCACAATTGAATTTGATCCCTGGTTTTTGGAAATATTTTCCACCACCTCAACACAAGAGGTTTGTTAGAGATATTCCCATCAACAGTTGTAAAGCTGCCTGATTTTCTAACAAGTCGAGGATTATATAAATAATCCCAGGTTTAACATCTTAAAATATTTTTAAGGCATCTTCTCCTTCTGGTAGGCATTGTACCATATTTTGGACAGACAAATTGCTGAATGAAATCTAAAGAAGATAAGGAGAGGAACACAGAGGTGGTTGATGATATTCCATGCCAAAATTCCGTAGAAATTTTCATGCATTTCAACCACCTTGGTTTTCTTCATCTCGAACATGCTGACGATCCACATAGCCAGATTACAGATGAGAAGGAAGGTGACGACAGCACGACCTGGCTTAGCCATCATCTGGTCATCATTTTCTGCACATCGACAAAGACCGTCGAGGATGAACACGGTCTGCAGAGTGATCTGACAGAGGGCTAGGGCGATCGTGACAAGACTTAGAATACCCTTGATCGTCTCCGTCCCCGTTTCCGAGCAGTAGGAGAAGACAGAAATAAGAGTAAAACACAGGTAGATATAGGACCCTGCCAACGCAACCAGCAATAAGACCGAATCAACAGAGAAGAAGATGGCCTTGAGGAACTTCAGAATGGACAGACGCATATATCCCCAGAGGATGCCGACACTCGTGATGACCATAAGGATGATTTCGGTAGTGAAGAAGACTTTAATGGCCGTGTCAGGAGATTCCACTCTCGTGTCGAACACAAAGAAGATTGCCATGGCGATGAGAGTGAGGACGGCCACCAGGAGGCCTAAGAACAGCCCCTTGTTGGCCTTTTCACAGTCGATCGCAGCGGCTCCTGCCGGCACAGAGCTGGTCAGAGAGGTGTGACTGGGCCACCTCTGCTTGATCCTCACGCCGATGTACTGATAGAGACGGTAGATGATACCAGCCGCGATAATACTGTAAATGATCAGGCTGGGGAAGAGGTATGGAGAAGCAGATCGGGCAAGAGTCTCCTGTCGGTAGCAACTTCCGGTCAAATTGTCTTCTACAATTATAGAATAAAGCCTGTTAATAATACGCCAAAGCTTAAACAGTATAGCAAGACCTGTATATTAAGCATTTTCTTATGTCTGGAGAATGTTCATAATGTTTAAGTGGTTGTTATATTAATATTCTGGACTGAGATTCTCTCTGAGAATGAGTCTGTCTAACAAGAGTCTAGTTTGACCATTTTGGAAAAGAAACGTTGCATTCTCCAGGAGTTATGTGTTATTATTACATCATACTTGAGTCAGCGTTTTGCCGTCTTAATTTGATTAGAAATTTGAATTAAGAATGTATCTCAAGACGATCCCGACACTTGTAAAAAAAACTGTATCATAAGAAAAGGAACTAAAACGACTTCAATGTAACTTACTTGGTGTGATATTGTTGAGTGCTTGGTATTTCAACAAGTTGTTAAAGTAATCCTGACGGTAATCTTCGGCTGTTTCAGTGATTGCAGTAACGATGACAACGCACAGATTGGTGGCCATTAGATGCATCATGCCAAAACGAACCAGTGGCTTTGCCTTGTCAATCACCAACTGTAAATGTGAAATTCAAACATGAAGTTAAATGCCTTAAGGTTGAGGTGTACTATTTTTAATATCTCGTCAGCATATTAAGGTTGTGCATGACAAACGAGGTATCATTGTGTGTTTTTTGTCAAAGACGGCGACACTGCACGGAGAAAAGGAATAGTAGTGCAAAATGTGCAGCGAGTCTGTTTTCCTTGATGTTTCAGTAGATAAACAAACTGTTTTTTAGTTATGTCTTCATAAGTGTTTCCAGTGATTAATAATAGTCCACAACAAGGTGATTGACTAGTGAACTGTCAGTCCATGAAGCTGGCAGCACTTTGAAGGCGTTTTTTTTTATTCTGGTACGGTTTTTCTTGAAACACAGATTCAGAAACAAATGGTTCTATTTTTATATATCATTTGAAAAAAACATTTGACATAACTTATCATTCATTTTACTTCAGTACCACTAATGAAACCAAAAAGGGAGAAATGACCATATGGTGTAGTAGATATTTATTTTGTTATGGTTTTTGTATCAACAAACTAAATTCAAAAACAGGTGCCTTCTTACTTCGTATTTGTAGTGATTATTTTATAGACTACGATATGTATACTTAAAACCCGCAAAGGGCTTACAATACTGAGTATACACAGGAATTATCAAATGTTGTTTACAGAACATTCAAATAATAAATTATAAAATTTCATCACAGTATGGGTGTCAAATAACAGCAAGAAAAGAACAGTGTGGCAGTAACCATGCTGACACCTTATTCATAATACGATTTAGATATAAGGAAACTGACTGAAGAGTAAAAGTAACTTTTCAAAGATATTTTTGAAAAATCATCAGAAGTTAATGAATCATAAAAGAATAACACACACAATTATTTTTCCTAAAAATCCACTTCATATGGGTGAATGGGTAAACGTATTGCTTGCTCTTCTTTCAAGCAGGATATGAACACGTTTAGGAAGTATGACCTAAATAGCAGGAGTGCATATAAATATAAACTGCTTGATAAAACACAAATCGGCCTTGCGTTATTCCGAGCACCATATGGTGCAGTTGTGTAGTGCATAGGGTACACACAGATATATTTCAATATTTGACACACGTATCTTATCATATTAACGAGAATCGGCCTAGAAAGACAGACTTTCCGTTTCAGCAGAAAGTGTTTACGGTCGAATAAAGCTGTCATTTGTTATCAAAATATTTCCCTGGTTCACCACCACATTCCAAAGTCTGATACCAAACGTTTGGTTTCATCTGTCATACAGCTACACTCAGTGAGAAAATTCAGTTGCCTCATTTCAAAAATGAGATTACATGTAATTGAATGCGACAAAGATTTAAAGATAGTGTCTCTACATTTTGAAACATTTATTCTATTTGACTGACTTGATAGCAATGATTTTCTACAGATATATATTCAAAATAACGTATTTTTTCACTTATATGTATGTTTTCTAAATATTTGTACTGTTTGCTTGTTACTGTCACTTTTAACAATTCATAGCAAAATGAGATATAAGGTAAGTCATAAAGTCAGACATATAAAAAATGAAAGCGTCTTCGTTGATTTAAAAATTTACATCAAAATAATCTTAAAATCGTACAATAACTCAGTCTTGTTGTTTTCCACTATTGAAAAATTATTGGATGATATTTAGATAAACATTATAACTAACCGACTGTCGTCAGGGGAACCTCGACATTAACTTGTAACTTTCATTATTCGTAAAGTATTTGGATTCCGGCTCGACTCTGCACGCGAATTAGCGCACCACCACAGATGTTGAGAAAAAATCTTTTACACTTCCAGGGACGTATAATGATGGTGTCTTTTATCAGAAGGTGTTGATGAAGCCACACTTTAGGTGATTACCCATGTACTTGGTGTGTACCTGTTGTCTAAGATTTACTGAAACAATGGAATACATGCCAGCATGTCTGATAGCACACACAACACATGTACATCCAAGTACGAACACGCCCACTCACTAAAAGCGTTGTCATCTACATATCTCGTTTTCTCTGATTACCAAAACGAAAATTACTAGGTTAAAATTACGAAACTTTTGAAATGTTCACGTTTCCTTCCTTCGTATTTCCAATTGTTAGAAAATAGCTGTTTTATACATTACACCTTCACGTGTAGTTTTATGTGTGAGTGTGTCCCAAAGGATGAGAAATTATCTTAAATCTGTGGACAAGCTAACACTACTTGTCCAATGTTTATGCACCATAGTGTGATGTCTGGAGTACACGATAACCAGACTCAATCTGTGCAGTTATATAACATGATGCTTTGCTTATTGTATGGTGATGTACCCTACACGATACTACCATGTGTTTACATCTCATCATTTCCGCCGATTAACGATAAATTTGACACGTGTTTATGCATCGTTATTCATATTTTTGATGCGTTAATGATTTATATGCAATGTATAAAAGCAGTTTCTATTTCAAAACTGTATATCATGCAAAACAAATCTTATTTTGTTATTATGATCCTTTTGAATATAAGGACATCTTCTATTACTTTGACGCATTTTGTTACCCGCAGACGATAATATTTACCACTGGTAAGTCCTGAATGAACGAAAATGTTTTGATTTCCAACTAATATTCTGTCAAATAAAAATCCTCATTATCATTAGGAACCGATTTGTTTCAATGAGCACATTGATGCGTTGTTTATTTGAAAACCAAACTTCAGGTTAAATAAATAAGATTTTGTTATTATGATAACTTTTGCTATAAGTGTATCTTTGATTACTTTGACATACATTTTGACCTGCATATTAAACTATTTATCACTAGCTAGTCCTGAACGAAGGAAATGTTTTTTGTTCCTACTGAATATTTCAGATAATATAAAGATAATAAGAGGATGTCTCTGTTGTTTCTGACTAGTTTCGTTGTGTACGTTAATGCGTTATTAGTTTATATACACTGTACAAACGCAACTTCAATTTCTAAACTGTATTACATTTTTTTACTTAGCTTTTATTAATAGCGTTTTAAATATCTTGATCAACTTTGACCTGCAGACTATACTATTTACCGCTGATGAAGCATGAATGAACAAAACTTTAGGAAAAAACTGTTAAAGACTAAGCCTGTTGTTTTATAATTTTCTTGATGCACGTGTAAGTGTTAATGTGTCTTTCCAAACTCTGTACTATTTTTTAAGGTGTGTTTAAAGAATACTGTATTATTTATAAATTGTTTCGAAATTAAAATATATAGAAATTGAAGAAATGGACGAAATGGTTATAGGATGCAGTAAGTATATACTTCATTTATTTTTCTGCACAGATTAAATATTTATTAAACAGAGTTTTCTGACTTATTTCCATGTCAGAAGAGTATATATTTATCACATTTCACCTAATTGTATATAGTTACATACCTATATAAGTGTCAGTGTCAAGCAAAACATTAGAAAAGCTTTGCACTCTCACAGCCACATTCCATATGTGATGATGAACAAAGAAACTCTCGAACTATTTGTTTTCGCGTAACTATCGGCTTATTTACTCAAATTGGTATAATCTACACGGTTCACGTATCATTACGCATCCCGCGGTTTACAAACGCCATTAACATACCATTAAATTCTAGTCGCCGTGAATTGTCAATTATCGTGCCACTATTTCACGATTAGAAATGTATAATGTGCATGCTTTTGGTACGTTTAGGCACAGTATAATAGGAACACATTAACTGTCTACCGAAATAGCGGAGTTTATTGCGTATGGTTTGTGATGGCGTATAAAGTCTGTCAGGCCGCCAGGTGTAGTGTGGTTAGATGATATCGGGATGCAATGTGGTCTGTCCTTCAAAGCTTCATAAAACAAGATGTTTACCCCGATTTTCAAATTACAATTCTCAGTAAAAAATTAAATAACCTTCAATAAAACTTTTTTTTTTGCATAGTCGTAAGACCTATTTTGATACAAATATAAGCTTTTGTTCAACAGTTACGTGATTTCTATGTTGTGATACCTTACAGTAAACGGTACTAACATGTTAAACTATAGAATTACCATTGTAAATATTGCGGAAATCCTTTCAAAAGAATATTTCTTAAAACTCTCATGTCGTGATGCATTCTACAGAATCAAACTTGATCGGAGTCTGAATATTTGAAAACAGTAATGAACTAAAGGCACCCTCTGATCTTGTATGTAGTTAATAATTGAGTTGGCTTATTGAATGGAATACGGTTTAAATCAAACTAAACTAAATGGTATTACTATGCTTATTATGGTCTTCAAATAATATTTAAAATAACTTCCTTTTCTGCAATTTATGTTCATTAATTGATGACCGTTCACCAGTTGCATTTATATACTGAAGGACATTTAGATGCATATACCCCAAAGAGACTGCTTACTGTGATAATATGCTGCAAAAATAATATTTAGCAACTATTATGTTATACTTTCAACACAATGAATATGTTTTGTTGTATTATTTGCCGTTTGGTTTTATCTTAATATCATGTTTTGTGCATAAAGACATATGCCAACGTGACCCCTTTCATTGGATTATGAACCCATGTTGTATTAATCGACATATATTAAACGGCGGTCTGTACACGTGAAGACATTTGCATTTAGGAGGGAAGGGGGGGGGAGGGGTGTTCTAGCGATCATGGCTATAGGAATGTACTGTTTATATACAAACGTCAGATAGTACATGTACCACAGGAAGGAATGTTGCCAATGCTCACTACTTTTCACACCGACAAATTGATCTAAAAAATAGCACTGACGTCGTTTGATATTGCTGCTGGGAATACACTTCCTACCCGCCCTCTACATGTCAGCTTTTTAAAAGAATTTTCCCAGTTGCATTTTCTACCAGTTTATCTCCCTCTTTTCTCTAATTACGGATCAGACATCATAATGATGAGATTATTTAAAAACAAGTTGAAAAAAACAATATTCAAAGACAACTATTGGAGAAGTTGTAACAGTATCCAAAATTCCGAAATACGGAATTTTCATTCAGGATTTGTTTATATTTGAAAATGAAAACAAAAGTATTGAACATGCTAGAAACAGACATTTGTAAATTTCCTTGTCGTAGCCTTTGTATGACATATTTGTTATGAATATTACTCAAATATATTCTCAAAAGAGCTGTATAAAATCAGCAACATACATGTTAAACATACCAGAGGTCGCTATTGTTACTGATGCATGAAGACAATGCATGTTTTGCACGCGCGCGCGTTATTAGTAGTATCAAACACGTTCTTACGCCATAGGACGTACATTTGTATCTAGCAACACAAATCTGAAACGAGATTCCGACAGACCGACAGTAATCGTTATTCATAACAAGAATGGCATTTATGACGATTTTCTGGCGTCCATTAGTTATGCTTGGTGTCGGATAATAAGTCGACCGTGACACGGGACGCAAGCATCGCCTGAGAACCGCCTTCTGAGGCTCTCGCCATTGAAACCGACACCACAGTCACAGTCATGCCTGGTTATAAAATGCATGAATCGAACTTTTAGGAACACGAATCTCAACATTTACACCTGAAGCACGCAATGTTGCAAATCATTGTGTACATGGATTTCATCCATCAAACAAAATAATTATCGGTTGTTGTAATTTCCTGCAGGTGTCTTTGGCACTTAGCCAATCCAAAGCTTGCACATTCTCGTCTGCTAACATCGTAACAAATCTCTAGCACTTCTCTGTAGTTGTTATTGGCATGTATTGCCATGGATACCGAAAGGGATATAGGCAAAAACAGAATTCATGTAGTTTCATTGATCAAAGTTTGGAAACATAACAGCAAATTGATCTCATATTTAACGAAACATGCCATAGAACGGATTAGAAACGTGAGTTGCTTATGAAAAGATTCATCAGTAACGGCATAGTTTTCTATTTAGAGAACGCTCTTGATTTCCTTGTAGCAACGGCCTTCTAATGAATTTGGGCTCATTTAGTACATAGAAAATGAACCATACCGTTATCGTTGAAATAATGGATTCGCGTCTTACAAATTTTCACACTCTAGTGGTGACGTCATCGGTTTTTTAGTAGCTAAAACACACACCAGTGTTTAAATAAGCTAAATGTCAACAATTTATCCATCTTTTGCCAATTGAAGAGCTATATTTTACATAAAGCTAAAATATCCAGATGTTAATGACGATTATGCTATTTAAAGTTGCGGTTTTATATTTGCTTGTGTGGTTTTGTTCACATAGAATTTCATCATTTTCTTGCACAGTGAAAATGGAGGTCATATTGTGGTTTGCTATTTGTGAGGTTATCGTTTCATTGTGGGCCTTTTAACTTGCTTTAATATGTGCGGTCGTCTTGTGGATTTGTTTGCATGATAATTACCTTCTCTTTGTTTTTTTACGATTAAATGAAGGAGAGCGGTCACCTTGTGTTTGTGTTATTTTAATTTTTACCATGTATTTTTACGTGTTCGTGGAGTTACCTTGTACTTATATATATGTGTGGTTACATGCCTACCTTGAGTTTGAGTTTATCTGATTATGATGCTTGAATGCCTTCAGTTACGTTTTCTTTATTTTAACATGTGTGATAACCTTGTGTACATGTCTCTTAAACTATATAAATGAGCTTTACTTATTGATACCTTCAGTTTTTGTTCGTTTTATAGATATCTGTCAGTGAGTCGGGGTATGGCGCTTTTGTTTTGTTTTCATATACAGTTGTGGCTACCACCAGGTTTTGTTTGTTTACATAAACATCTTTGGTGTTTTGTTTCTTTCTTTTAACAAACATCAGCTGTTATTTTGTTTTATTTATATGACCATTTATAGTTACCTTGTGGTTTTTGAATAGGAAAAACGTCTGGACGAAGGTGAAGAGGAGATGCATAACGTAGACAAAGATGAAGATGGGACTTTTACATTCCTCTGTCGTCTGCGTCTCAAAGTAGGTGGCGATGTGAAATCCATCCAGGATGACACTGCCACAGGCGAATGCTGGAAAAGGCGGGAAGAGGCGAAACATTAACTAACTTGGTCATTGTAGAATATTTGTTAAAAGCTAATCAGCATGTATTCGAGAATGAAAAGGGATGTGTTTAAAAGCGCTGCACTCGCCTGTACAACTTTTTGCGTTTTACGTAATATGTAAGCAAACAAACGATAGCGAAAATGACTGAGCAGACGATACATCATTATTTTAGTATGTGAATCAGGCAGGTCAAAAATCGACTTCCTTCGTAATTGTTTGCAAATTTGCATGCATCTGTTTTGATCCAGGTCCTCTTATTATCACTAGACACTTTGTCATCAGGTTAACGTTCGCGGTATAAGGACTGCTAACAGTTAATATCATAACCTTCCATTTGTATAGTGGGAGTGGCGATTTAATTGACTGAACGATCTAGTGAGTTCAAGGCTCGGCAAGGGAACCCTTTAAAAGCTGTCTTCCCTTGTGATTTCTGTTTTTACAATGCGTGTCAGTACCTTGGCAGTTGATAAAACGAAACCGAACCGATACATATAAGTAAATGTGTTCTTTTTCAAATCGTTAAAAATTTGTCCAGTTCAGTATGTTTGGTATGGAAGTTACGCCAAGTGGAAAATTCAAAGTGACCCTTTAAATAAAATAAATTTGAAGAAGACTTTTAATATTGAATACTTCAAAGAGTTCTCGAACATTTTATTCTACGTACCCAGGGCGCCTAGTCTGAGGTAGAAGTTAATCCCCTCTCCGGCATGTGCCACACCCCCTGGGGAGGGAAGTTCCATGTGACTGTGATAGCTTCCCACGGAAACTTGTTCCGCCTTGCTCTGGTCCAGAGGCTGAACTTCCTCCGAGCTGTTCGCGCCAGCGTCGGCTGCGCGCGTCGGATACGGCGATGCCGTCGGCGACTTATGGATACTTCCGTCATTGCGCACTGATATCCGGATGTTGGGTTCATAATAATTGTTCTTGACCTTGATCCCGCTTAAGAGACCAAGTTGGAAATATATCAACATCCCCAGTGAGAACACATATAAGTACACCAGAAATACCTGAAAAGGACAAAAACAAAAAGGAATTTAGAAGGGAGGGAGAAAAGGGTAAAGGCGATGGATTGATAAAGATATATGTAATATTTGTATGTGATAATATATATTGGACTTTGACAGAGAAAATTGGAAATTGACATACACTGTATTCCGTCTTTGCGTATTGCAGAGTTATCTTCCCTTGGGAGCAGGTATTGATTGTTACGTCATTGGTTTGTGTGAGAAAATTACGTCGTTTTCTCAAAAATTGATGACGTTACTCTCACAAACAAGTGACGTAACAATCAATACCTGTTCCCAGGGGAGGAGATAACTCTGCAATACGCAAAGACGGAATACAATGATGGAGATACATGCAAGAAATGATGCTCATTTTGGGGTGAAAATATTTCGTATTTTATCAATGGTTACATTTAAAATTGCATTGTATGTAACTTTGTGGTAACGTTTGAAATAAGGTCTGAATGATGGTAACGCTTCGTATGTCCTCGAAATATAGGTGGACTTTGAAATAATATTTTTAAGTAAAACTCAAGAAAGGTTTAACAATTAACTTCCAAGAGTATCAATATCGTTCAACCTGGAAATATCATTCGATTAACTGACCACACGAGTAACCGATTGACCATTACCTCGAGGTAGAACTGGTGATGCCGCTCCCTGGCGGTAAGTGACGTGGCCGTAGAAAATACTATTCCGAGAACCACTATTAACAACGCGTACAGTCCACATAACAGCTTCACCAGGGACGATCTGAAATGGACAAGAGCGTCATCTTTAAACCGGAAGTCATTTGTTAAAAGTGCATTACTTCAACATGCAATACAACGTCAGTTATTAAGAAAATTATATTTATTGGTGAATTTCGAAGCGGGGAACATTATCCGACATGAGACCCATTAACGCTTTGTGAAATTCTGGCTCAGTGCTTATTTTGGCTGTAATGATATACCAGTATGTCTAGAGTATACACACATATAAGATGAGTTGTTGTTTTGTCTTGTTTAGGGGGGGATTCAGATAAGCATTTTGCCAAAACGTAAGACATGTTTTGTTGCTGATGTTGCAACATTATCACCAAACAATAAGGACAATGCATATTTACAAAAAGCTTTCTTGAAACGATTCCAAGCACCACAGTTGTAAAGTATGAGTTACATGTATACGTACAAGTGAAACAGTGAATCCCCTCCTTCCACATACACGAGTTTTGGCGGGAAAGTAGGTTGCGATAGGTACATGCAGATCGTTGTGATAAGGGACGTTAACACAGTGTGTACAATGGTAGAACGTGAATCTGATGTTTATCTGTACAAATCGCTCAACAACCGGAACATGGAAACATGTATAGCTTATCAGTACTGTTACTACAGAGACCTGTTCACGCGTCAGTCTTACTCATGTCTTACTAGCAACAAGTAAAGTGTTGGTACATGGGTAGGCGTAATAAACAGACATCCAAGGACATTTGAAACAAAAATAGGTGACATCAGGGAAAGATGGGTGTAGGGGAGGGGTAGACATGGGTACAGAGAGATATGCAGAGTTTGAGAGGTTAGTAGGGATAACAGGGAGAGAAAGGTGTGGGGGTTCCTTGGGGTGGGGAGGGGGGATGTAAAAATGAAGTGGTGAGGTAAACATTGGAGCATAAGGTGGGGAAAGTTTTGGACAAATGTATGATCGATTGGCATAGTACTGACGGGGTATTGATAGATGGAAATTCGAGGTTTATGGGATGGAAAAAGTTGTAAGTAAATGATGCAGATGTGATGAAAAGAAGCGGGAGATATTTGGTGGCGGTGGTCAGGATGAAGGAGTTTGGG